TGACTGTGGAAACTTTACACTGGACTTCAAGCAACGTGGATGAAGTGCCTCTCTTCTTTTCCTCCAGACTCTGGGACCTTGATTTCCAAAGGAAATGCAAAATTTACTTTCATCAGAGAACATGACTTTGGACCACTCACCAGCAGTCCAGTCCTGTTTCTCTTTAGACGCTTCTGACGCTGTCTGTGGTTCAAGAGTGGCTTGACACAAGGAATGCGACAGCAGAAACCCATGTCTTTCATACGTCTGTGTGTGGTGGTTCTTGAAGCACTCACTCCAGCTGCAGTCCACTCTTTGTGAATCTCCCCCACATTTTTGAATGGGTTTTGTTTCACAATCCTCTCCAGGGTGCGGTTATCTCTCTTGCTTGTACACTTTTTTCGACCACATCTTTTCCTTCCCTTCGCCTCTCTATTAATGTGCTTGGACACTGAGCTCTGTGAACAGCCAGCCTCTTTAGCGATGACCTTTTGTGTCTTGCCCTCCTTGTGCAAGGTGTCGATGGTCGTCTTTTGGACAACTGTCAAGTCAGCAGTCTTCCCCATGATTGTGTAGCCTATAGAACTAGACTGAAAGACCATTTAAAGGCTTTTGCAGGTGGTTTGAGTTAATTAGCTGATTAGAGTGTGGCACCAGGGGCCATCAATTTTGAACCTTTTCACAATATTCTAATTTTCTGATATGATGAATTTGAGATTTTCATTTGTTGTCATTTGTAATCATCAAAATTAAACAAAATAAACATCTGAAATATATGAGTTTGTATGTAATGTATGAATATAATATACAAGTTTCACTTTTTAAATGGAATTACTGAAATCAATCTACTTTTTCATGATATTCTAATTTTATGACCAGCACCTGTATATTTAAAATAGTGTCATATTTTTAGATACCAGTTATACCCCTGTCGGAAAAAAGGGATAAGAATTAGAAGTGAGGCTTGTAATTTATTATGAGTTCTTAATCAAACATTACAATTTCTTTTATGTATCCGTCATAAAGTCCTATTGGCAAAGTATGTCTTAAAATAAATAAAATGTCCACATTTAGTACAGAGCTGCTTAAAAATGTTTGCAAATCTTTAGAAAGTATTCTTTTGAGCAGCATTTCCTTCTTTTGTGGGACACCTGAGAAGAGAGCAGAGGCTTTTATTTACATCCCAGCAATGTACTTGCAGGAGAACAAATAGAAGGCTTGTCTAAAATAGATGCAATGAAAAGTGGAGCCTTAGGTGCCACATCACGACATGGAGAGGAGACGCATAATGCAATAATTGCTCTGAGGTGCTCTTGTGTCTGATTGCTTTTGAGCATCTCTTATTGATTTAGTAGCTTCCCGTTACACGTCCCCTTTGAAACGCACACTTTCGGTCATGCTGTCACACAACTCTCCCAGGCAAAGACGCACAGCTTCTCCTCCTCCCTCCATCCTAAACACCCAATTAGCAGCCACACCTGGCCACCTGCCTCCAATCAGAGCGGAGAGGCCGTTACCATGACAGCGAGCAACGACAAAATCCAGATGCAGATGGGGGGTCAGGGATGATGGATAGAATGGAGAATGACTTTGTGTGCAGATGATAAATAGATTTGGAGGTCATCTGTGGAATCAGATGGCTAGTCAGACGGGTGGCTTAGATGGCAAAAATATCATGCTAGTTTATTTTTACAATGAATATTTCACTATAAAATGTCTACAATAAAAAAATTGTTTAAAATGCAAATTGAGATGTAGAATTACTACATTAGTCTTTTATGAATACAGAGCCATCATCAGTTTTTATTTACCGTATATTTACTGCATCTTATCACTTAATGACACTCTGGGGTTTGAAGCAACATGGAGAAGGGCTAAATGGATCCCCTGAACGCATCACTGGCTTCATTTCATCCTACATGTTTCTACTTGGGACCTCTACCCCCTCACCCCCAGCCTGGTCATTCACCCCATCAGCCACGTATTTTACCACAAATGGAACAAATAACAGCTTTCATCACCAACTGAATCAAGGCCATTTGATCAATAAGGCGCCAGAGGTTTGTGTGTCTTCCACATACAGATATTTTTTTTTGTTTTTTTTGGGGGGGTTGATTGATTGAAATGGCTACTGCAATGATAAGAGGGGAATTGATTGATTTTGATGTCAACATGGAAAAACATGAAAGGATGAGAGTGCATAGATATTCGCATTCACAGCGAGAGAGAGTTTAAAAGGCCCTTTGCTCCATTTTTAAATTACATTTGCCTGCAGTGAAAAAAGTGTTGTTATGTCCCATCATGCCTTCCACATGTTGTCCAACTGTTGTCAGCTGTCAGGGTGACTTTCATTCACCGAAAAGGAAACCTCTGAAATCATTCAATTTCACGATTGTTAACTGCAACCATTTTGTCGATACTTTTATTCGCCCTGTATCTAAAATTGAGACATTTTGTCGTCCTTGTCTGCCCAATACTCTGAGAGTCTTTTTGTGTTTGTTCAGGTGAAAGTCAATTCCCAGTCACCCTTTTCCTCATTTTTTTTTAATCCCTCCATGAAGGCACACTGAGCACACAGGCTGTGTTTCTGCATCACCTTGCTTTACATTTACACAGTGACTCATTCTTTTCCAATGGGAGCTTCCGAGTACAACAGGCAACGGAGCAGCTCCATTGGAGCAAATGGGATTAAGGGCAAAGGCTGCTCAGTAAGTTGTGCCCCTTTTAGGCTTTTATTTACATTCCGCTCAGATTTTAGTGAAGCAATAAATGGAGCAACAGCACAGTTCTTGCTAAGCAGCAATGTCACTGTCACTCCAGCGGATAAGCATCCTTTTTTTTAATTCACTTCAGTTTAGTTTATTTATGTTTCCCCAATTTACAACAGGTCTTCTCACAGCACCTTGCTGTCAGAAAAAATTTAGATATATACATTTTTTGAGCACTGAATAAGTGATAACCAGAATGATGCAGATAAAACTTCTTCATACTAATTATCCTAAATAAATAGCATTTTCCCTCCTCCATTTTAAGGGTTCAGGTTAGTAATTATTGTAAGGGTGGGAAATAAGATTTTTGGCCAGCTGCATGTTTCATGACACAAAAGGATGGTGTCTGCTTCACAATATAGCAAACAATACATATATTTATTTGGCTAAAAATATGTATTGCTGAATTAAATGCATTTTTAGAGGCAGACACAGCAGACAGCTGTATTATACCAGACGGGATTCTGACAGAAGGATGGGCGATCGCTTTAACTCCACCTCTAACCCTCATATGTCAGAGGTTGGATATTACATGAAATAGTGACTGACTTAGTAACTCAGCTACTGCACCATCAAACTAGCTAGTAACTTGGTAGTTACTTTTCTAAAGTTAACATAATAAATGCATAGCTTTCAAATGGAAACATAAGAACGTGCCCCCACCTTCTCTTTGGCTCAGTGAACTAACCACTTTTATCCCCAGTGAGAAAATAATCAATAATCTAAATCAAAGACCAGACAAATTTGACAGAATAGGGGGTGGTCTAAATGAGCATTTAAATACAGCACGTATAGACTATTAAATGGTTGAACCATAATAAAACATAAGTGCTGATGAACAATATGTATTTAGGATACTACCTTTGGACTTATTATATAGAATCATTTATTTACCTTATTGGATTTTATTTTATTTACCGGTAATCGTATGCTTTAGAAGTCTTGATTGACTTGCTACAAGTTTATTTATTGATTTTTTATTTTTTTTTATTTTATATACTTATTATTGTTTTTATATAGGTGTGTATAGGAATACATGTGTGTCTGAAGGTGAATGTGTTTATGCACATGTATACAGATATATATGCATATATGTATATAAGGGTATAGGGTTTCAGGGGGGAGTGAAGGGGTTCAATGTGTGACTTGCCATGCTATCTATATCTTAATTCTGGAATCAAACAGTGGTTACAGAGAACAATCAGAACAGTATTTTTGTCTTTGTAAAGTAAACGATAACCATAAACCCTGCAAGTGATTTCAATAACCCTGAAGAAGTAAAGTGCAGTGGTTTGGAAAACGGAGTCATTCATTTGTCAGTGTAGTGGAAAAGTGAAAGGATGCGGGGTGCTTCATTATATTAAAATTGCTTGGAACAGTTTCTGTTGTCAGATAATGTGCACATCACTGCTAACATTTTGTCTTTGACTTGGTGTCTATGCTTTCAGTTTAGCAACGCTATCATTACCTTTACTGGGCTGGCTGCCATCAGCCTCCATCTCTTGGGGTATTAGTCTCGACCTGTGTGCCTAACACATGGTGAACGCCAGCCCACCTGACTCTTCCTCAGCCAATTAGCATCTAAAATACCTCTGCCTCAGCATCCCCTGCTCTCCTGCCGTGTTAAAAACAGGAAGCAGCTCATGAAAAGGTGCTTTGAATAACTGAATTATAGTATTGATCTGCTTTAATTTTTAGGTGAAGTAACTTCGTTACTGAAATAAGAGAGAATTAGATAGAATGGATAACGATAACACAAAGATGTGAGTGGCAGTAGTGATTGGGTTCAATTGGAGGTAGAGATGAAGGAAGGGAGGGGAGCGTGATCTAAAATCATAGATTCAAGCTTTTTATAACATCATTGTAATTTTGTTTCATATTATCCATTATACGACATAAACACTGAGTGGTCCAGGCTCTTTGTCCAGATTACCATGGAGTGAGGTGAACAAAGAGGAAGTCCTTGTACAACCAAACCTTTAGTAACCAAAGAGTTTTCATCAGAGATGAGCAATTTTAAGATCTATTCATTTAAAAAAACCAAAAAAAAAAACAACAACAACAACTGTGTGTTTGTTTAAATGAAGCTTAACATAAGGTTTAGATTGTGTCTGAGTTGTGGCGAATGCACTTTTTTGATCTGGCACAAATGTGTTCACCTTATACTGTAATTTACTTATTGATGAATTTTCCACTAATTTAATCCCCCCCCCATAAAAATTTATGTCTGTGTTCATTTTTTCTCATTTCTAGAATCACTATCTTTGGCACTGGGGCTAAATGGCTGTCTGTGCTGCAGGAGAAGAACCTCAAACCTTGTGAGTTGTGGTAGAGTTCACAACAAACACACACATACATACAAAAACATTCAAGGGTAAAATCGGATATAACAAAGAGCTTCTTAGAAAAATGCACTGTTGGAAAATTAGATCTGGATTGCTAAAATGAGCAATGTTTTTACCCATAACGTCACTTGATCTTGTAAACGCAGCTGAAAATAAACATAAAAATTCAGATTTTTGTCTACCAAAGGCAAGGCAAATTTATTTGTAAAGCACAATTCAGTACAAAGTGCTTTACATGATTAACATATAGGAAAAAAAACAGAAACAAATCAAGTAGGGAAAAAAATGAATAAAAAATGCAGAAACAAAAAAGAACATTAAAAACAGTTGGACTAAAGCAGTTCGCCATTCATTAAAACCACACACTCCAGCGTATCTTGTTGGAATTGAATATGGTTAGCGTTTTTTCAGGTCAAAGGTTAACTGTTCCTGTCATTTGCTCATTATATCTGCCAACAAAGACTTCAGCCACATCAGGAAGGTCATACAAATTATGGATTTTTAGTTCATAAAAAGTAAATACATGGTTAAGTTGCAAGTAACTATTTAATTTTGCAGTACCCAAGCTACTAATTCAGTTTGTTTTTGAAAAATGTGACAAGTAACTAGTTAGTTCATGTATTAGAATGAACCCAAGTTGAAATCTAAATCTAGTTTGAAACATGTGGTAATGCCTCTGAGACCCTGTAATCCAGTCCTACTGAAGCTGAGCTGTTCTTTTAACAGGGAGCAGTGTAATTGCAGACAGAGGAGACTTTATAACAATGCAGGTGATTTTATTACATTTTTAAATTTCTTAAAAGGAAGAAACCTCACTCAAAAATATCAATACTCAAACGCTGTATCTGGATACAATACTAATTTGGCTTTTTATTGATCCTAATGATACTAAAGTGTTGTCTGCCTATTTTTGCTGTTATTAATTTGAGACTTTTGGGTTATTTTACACATGTATATAGCTACCTTCTATGATTCTGTTGAGAAATTATTGTGAGATTAGAAAAGGTAAGTTGTATCGAATATTTTCCTGGATATCGATATTAAATTAGAAATGTTATTATGTTGAGTTACCAGTTTTATGGTAGTACTAACCAAAAAAAGAAACACTTTTAATGAGGAGTAGGATGTATTCCTCCCAAAACATGGAGGTTTTACATCTAAAAGAACAACAGAAGATTATGAGCTCATTAAACAGAATATTTCCTCTGTGTTTTAATAAAACCAGTAATTTAGTTGATGACTACTATTATATTGCATTCACAATCTCCCCTTTAACTTGATATGCATTTAGCATAAACATTTAAATACAGATGTTTAACGCTCATGTTTTTCTGTATATTCAACATAAGTTGGTTCAGTAAATGAAATAAATTCATGAGCTACTGACCTTTTCTTTGTTTTTCTTTGATCAATGAGACCCAGCCTATAATTGGGGGTAAATAAAATGTCTCCCTTCACTTCAGTCCAGCAAAGAAAATCGAAGTACAACACAGGGAGCATCAGTTCTTGTCACGAGCAGCAGAACTGCTCTTTAGTGTAAAAGTCTCAAGACATCTGTCCATTTTCTTATCCGTTTTTTGTTGTTGTTTTTTTTTTGTCACCTGCCCGTCTATATGCCACCCCATCCATCTGTCATTGTTAGGGAGGCTAAAGGAGATGTTTCTCGCTGTGTGCTTTTAAGAAATTGTGTGTGTTTGCAAGCGGGATCGGGCTGCGAAGGATAGAGGAAGCTTCTTCCCTGACTGCCCCAGTGGAGAAGCCCTTTTTTCAGTGCTGACATTTGGACTGGATTGGGCTGGACACCTGGAGGCATGGTGGGGGGTTGCAGAAGTTCCTACTGCGTCTGTGTGTGTGTATGCGCGCTTCCAGGGTGAGGGTCGGTTGCTGGAAGCCTCTCGGTTCACAGGGTGTTATTGGCATGTGGTTTGGGCATCTGTGGGTGACATGGAGCATGTGCATAGATCTCTGGAGTGACACCTAAAGTGTTTGGGGGTGTGTGTGTATGTGTGTTACAGTAAATGGGGGGTTGTAGGCTTTGTCACAGCAGGGTGGCAAACTGCAATAACACAACATGTTAGAGTGCCAGCAGCCACAGCTGTTCACAGGTGCTTGCCTGCTTTTTTGTGTGTCGATTTCTAATTTGGTTGAAATTATTGCTGCCTGCAACTGTATCTGGGTTTTGATACAGCTGCTACTGTGATAAGTGCATTTTAGCAGTGATAGCAGGACAAAGCAAAGAGTTATTTCAGGAAAAGGTGGTAACTAATGTTAAATGCATCAAGAGAGTCTATACAATAATGAAAACGTGAAATCATCAAAACAGGTGTTGAGATCCCACATTTTCAGTAGACATAAATCCCTTTGTTAGAAACAAACTGCAACTTTTTGCAGAAAAGATAAATATAATATTTCAAAGTATTTAATCTAATTTATTCCTTAATTAATAATGCAATTAAGCAACTTTCATCCAGCTTTTTTGCATTCTTGTGTTCACACACCTTGTTAATGTTCTGCTTTCTTGAAATGGAGACATAATAAAAAATCATGTGGGAGAGTCTGCTTTTAAATGTTAATGGAACAATTGTTTCTTTCCAATCCTTCCATCTTTCACAAAATTGATGGAGCTGCCTGTAGGAATACAGGAATACCAGCACACAGACAAAAGCTGTAGTGACATTTTAATAGAATTTGGCATCTGTCATAAACCTGTTTGGATTTTAGACCATTTAGAACAAAGTTGTTGTGTGTATAACTGTTTTTCGGTGTTTTCTGTTTTAGCTTGAGAATATCTTCAATGATGGAAATTCCAGGATTTAATGCATAAAGTAATTGTTAGCAGGTCTTAACAAGGTATAAGAACCTTACTTGCGTATTTCAGAAATGGAGTATTATTTGTAGTATTATCTTATAAATGCAGTTTGTCCTTTTTTAGTTGCTGATATATTTTCTTTGGTGTTTGATCATAGTCAAAACAATGGAATCAGGATTTTCTTTCTCCCTGGATCTGATTTACAAGTATAAATGCTTTTAGTAGTTGGGTTTAAGTTCTGTAGCTAAGTTTGTTATTCAATAATTTGTTACTCGGTAGATTTATATAAATACCAAAGCCTGCAAAGCTGCAAAAACAGAGATTTTCATTTCAGTTCAATTGTTTTATCTCCAACAAGATTTCCAACTGAAGTGGGATGCATTTCTCAGGTCAGCCTTCCGACACAGTCAAGAACCTAAGATATTTCTATCTGATGTAGATAAATTAGTTTTTTTTTTTAGGTCTCACCTTTTTTGTTATTGTCTTTCAGGGACCCAAAGTACAAAGCACGTTTGTGCACACAAAAAATGTAACTATTTTACACACAACTTGGCATCAGAATGTGCAGTAATTCATGTCAACTTTTGACATGCTGTGAAAATGTGAGGTAGCAACCCAAACCTCTTTAATCTGAAAATAGAATACTATAGAATAACAAAACTCACCTAAATACACTGAAAATGAATTGATTTAGTGTTTTTCTTACATCAAAGGATCATTAAACCTGATGTTTCAGCTTTTAGGAGGTAAATCTTAATGCTGCAACTGAATCTCATCACTTCAGGATGCAGTATGAGCGTAGCCTCTGTCTCACTGGGTGCTGGTTCAAGTTCTTAAAGTGCTCAGCTCTTTGCAGCCGTAGTGTTTTAGGGAGCTGATTGGCAGGTCCGATATTTCACAGTCATCCCTTAGCCCTTCTATGCAGCCATATGGAATAGCCTCATTGGTATGGATTCCCTAAACAACGCCTGAATAGATACACATCAAATTGCAATATGACATGAGGAGCCGGCTCCCAATCTAATCAGAGCTATGGCTGTAATCATACTGCTGTAAGAACACCATCTGTGAATGAATTTGCTCTCATGAATAGAACACATTCTAATAGCTGTGCCCCTGAAATGTGTCACAGAACAGACTTCAAGCAGGCTCCATGCATGATGGCTGGATTCTGTTTTGTTACTTTGTTTTTATGGGACACCCTGACTGGTTTTAAACATTAACTCTACTTCACATTGTGTGTATGGTGACATATTCTTAGTAGAAATATGGGGGTAATATGCATGTAATTTATAATGATATGGTTGTTATGGATTTAACTGAGCTCAATGCTGCAGTTAGACACAGCTGAATTATATAAATCATAAATGCAGAAAAAAATATTTTCAGCTTCTATTATGTCTATGATTTTATTTCCAGACAATTTTTTTAGTGAGTCGCTGACAGGCTAGCAATGCGTATGGACGCTCTTTAATAAAATGACAAATTGTACGCCTTGTTTTAGGAATGTAAAGCTTTGGTACGCCCTAATTTTCCCCCTGCCGGTATGTGGGGGATCTGAGCCCATATCTTAATAAACTGACTGCACAGACAATGTTTTGAGGTGGACTTTCTCACTTAAAATTTAAATATTAAAACCTACTTATTCACCGACTTGACAGCAAATATAGCAAGGCCTCTCTCTGCCATTGAAAGCAGGAGCTGCAGAAACATCAGACCTATCTGTTCACATTTTACTGGACGCGCTTCAGGAGCCTCAAAGATGCTACGTCTGACCTTAATGTGTACAAGCCTAAAAATGAAGCAGCAGGTGCTTTTTTGCGGCTCAAATCGTGGCATGAACGTAGCATTACACTTTCTGATTATTATTTTTTTTTTTATCAACCTATGAAACATAATGTACCTAAAAATGATCTCATGTCTTCCTTATGAAATTTCCACCTCTAGTCAAGTGCAAATACTTCCCATAATCAGGACAATAGAAGTGTTGTAACCAAGAAAAAAAGTTAGCCGCATTCCACCTCAAAAGGCAGGAAATAGCATTTCAGAGAGTCTAAATTTCAATATTTTCCAGGGTAGGATATCCCAGGAACCCCTTATGCCATACAAAGCCTAAAGATGTGATACACTTAGGTATACAACCTATGTAATATTCCTCTCTAAATGCCTGCTCATTGATGTTACTCAAAGTTTTTTGGCTGTAACAAATATTCCTTAGATGTGTTGTTAAGGTCTAGCCAAACAGCACCATTGCCATGGTTATTTGGACTCTTGGTGTGTACCGTCCCGGTTTTTAAACCGTTTTGTTTAGGTATTAAAGGGCTGGGAAATCCACATGCAGCTACGGTCATTCCCATGCAAACTGGGCTGATTTCATACAGCTGAATTTGCAGCAAATTTCCGAATTCTTTCCTTCTGAACATCATGTGCATTCTTTTGTACTTGATGTCCCAGATGTCTGCTTAACTTTTTAATAGAATACAATACAATGGAACACTTTCTTAAACAGTGGAGAAACTTCACTTTATCAACAGCAAAATGAGAGGCAGAGTATATGCTGCACAATGCAGGTACAAAGGCTGAGTGGAAGGATAATTCAAAAAGTTATAGAAGACCTTTAGAAATGTATCTATCTATTGATCAACTCTGCTCTAAAAGGTTACAAAAAAGTATGAATCTTTGGAAAAAAAGTACAAAGGAAATAAAGTGTTATTTAAAAGTTTTGCCCATTTCTGAACCTTGCAACTAAATGTTTTTTTTTTTAGCAGAATCCTGTTAAACTCAGAAACCTTATTCAAATCTAAAGTTAATTTCAAAGAGTCTGTTATTTTGGAGACTTTTGTTATGTTGTCTGACTTTCTGTTTAACCTCCTTCTCTCTCCCAGCGGAAACACACAACCTTCAGTCTCTACACACCATCCTGTCCACTGGATCTCCACTCAAACCTCAGAGCTACGACTACGTGTATCGCTGCATCAAGAGCACCGTGCTGCTGGGCTCAATCTCAGGTAGAGAAACTGTTTTCATTAGATAAATGACATTTAAGGTCCTCACAAACAGAATAATAAGTATTTTCTTTCTCATCTGTTTTATTTTTTAACCTCTCATCTCACTAAATCTCTCTCATTTCTGCCCTGATTGGGTCTGACCTTTATTTTATTTTTTATTTCTTCTCCATGGTCATGGTAAATGAAAAGGGTCCAAAAAACATCACCTGACCTGCAAAGAAGCTCAAATAAATTCTGAAACATGTGACATGGCAGTAAATTCCAGAAATAATGAAGTTTATAAACATTTTAGCTGTAAAATACCATATAGGAATGTGGGTAGATCTTAATAATGAGCAACATGTAAACTTGTTGAAAAAATATTCATGAAATCTGCAGCTGTTTCAGAATCTCTAAGCAGTCATTTATATTACAAACACGCATTGAAATACAATTTGACAAGAGTAATAGGCAATAATTTGTAAGACTCAGAGAGAAAATGAGAAATTAGCTTTCGGAGGTCTACGAAAGAAATGGTTATCAAGTTTTATTAACCAGATCCAAATATTCAAAGGTTTAGATATAGTACATTTAGTGCAGGTGAAAATGTTACGCAAATTGACTGCTTTTCCGCCTCTTTTATTGTCTTGTCGAGCAGAAAATAAGAATTCAGACTTTAGATGAGGAGCCTGAGAAGAGTTTACAGAAGAAGTGACTTAAAGCCAACATTTAATCAGAAATAGAAATGTAGATATATTCAGATAAGAAAAATCCTTAATAAGATAAAACCCTCCCATTGTAAGATTTCTAATGTGCAGTAATATAGAGGTATCCAAACCATCCGGGCTCAACATTTATATACCAGCTCTAGACACCTCTTCTTCACTTTTTCCTATTATTTCGAGTTGAGTTGCAAAATATTTAAAAGCTCAGTAATCACAATTATAAACTCAGTTTCAAACCTACAGGGTGGTTTGAAGCTCTGCTCAGTAATCTTTTTGTAATGCAGAATTAGCAACAAAGCATTTGTGACACCTACACAAAAGGTTGGCACAAACAAAGAAAATTCCAGAAAGATAATTTATATATAACTGTCCGCTTTCGTCACAGCGTAGTCATGCACAGAAAATTCAAACACAGGGCCTCTCAGCCTCTTTTGTGATTTTTGACAGGTCAATAGAATGCTATCTGTCTATTTCTGTGAGCCCTGAAGCATTTAACATTTAGCAGAGGCTGGGTGACTGACGTTTAATGCACACCATGCATATACACCCTCACTTACGCACAGAAGTACACACACACCCAAATAAACATACAGGCCCCTGTTGACATGCAAGACGAGAGAGTGGACACGGGCGTCGTCCCGAATGTCAATCACTAAACGGAGATGTTGGAAGACAGAGCAGCATTGTGTACAAAAAGAATGTCTTGACTTATTTAGCATAGCTTTCTTCGTGTTTCTGTAGCGCTTTAAAAAAAAATACCTTAAAATATCCAGGAACTGTATAAATGCTTTGATTATTGTGCATTTTGTGGTTCAAAGAGTGCTTAGCTATTTTTTGATGTATTGTATTGTATTGTATTTTAGGAAAACACAGAGTTTTATGGCTGTCCCTTGTGCAGAACATTATATCCTGTCTGTAGCACCCTGTTAGTAATATAAATAGAAATTTTTAACTGTGCCAAAAAAATAAAATGTATAGATTTATATATTCTTTGCTAATTTTCTCTTTCGTGATAGTAATGTTAAAAGGCATTGTTAGAAATTTCCTTAATTCTAAATTTTCTCACCTTTTAAGTACTTTATGTTTGAGAAAGGGAAGCAGGAAAATATATGTTTTTAAAAAGTGTGGTGCGTGCATGCATTCACCTGACCTTACTCAAGACTTTGTAGAGCTCTGGTTCCGTGCATTAACATCTGTGCATCCTTTGGAGCATTTAGTATCTGTACCAGCATAACTCAGCTATAGGCTGAAATGTGTTCCCATTTGTCTCAGTGGACAGCTGTGCTGTCCTGCTTAAAGAAAAGCATCCCTGCAGGACTCTGTGTTAAGGCTTTTTCTGCAGCACCTATTGTTTGACATGCAAGGAAAGAGTCTCATTTTATTCTCATCTAACAGAGAGCCTTGTTTGCCATCCTCTACATGGCCTATTTCAAAGGCTGCCAAGTAATCTTACCACTCTTTACTGAGGTACAGATTTATAAGGCGATCAGCTTCTGATCATCTATTTACACTCGATCTTTCATCTGCTTTTCTGTGCTAACAGTTCTTGTTGCTCTCATTTTAGGTAAATAGCCATTTCTTAGTGGTTTGAAACAGTGCTCTTAACATTTTTTCAGATAACTTGCATCGTTGGGAACAATCCATGCAATCCACTTATACAAATAAATCAAACCATAGATGTCCAAAAATTAAGTTATGTGTAATAAATGAAATGAAAAATGGAAAAAATATTGAATACACTTACTGAATTTTTTTAAATACTTTGTCCAAAAGCCTTTGTTGGTAATGACTGCTTCAAGGCGCCTCCTGTATGAAGAAATTAGTCACATACTTTGCTCAGGTGTGATTTTGGCCCATTCTTCCACACAGACAATCTTTAAATCTTGAAAGTTCTGTGGACCTCTTCAATGAACTCTGATCTTTAGTTCTTTCCATAGCTGGGCCATTCTAGCAGCTTTATTTTCTTTCCCTGAAACCCATTGAGAGTTTCCTTGGCTGTGTTTGGGGTCATTGTCTTACTGAAATGTCCACCCACATTTCATCTTCATCATACTGGTAGATGGCAGCTGATCTTTATCAAGAATGTCTGTACATTTTTCCAATTATCCTTCCCTTAATTATTTGAAGTCTGCCATTACCATAGGCAGAAACACAGCCCCACCCCATGATGTTCCCCCCTCCAACCTTTGTTGGTATGTTGGTATGGTGTTTGGGAGTGGGGTCAGTGCCATTTGACCCCCAAACATAATGTGTGTTATGGCATCCAAAGAGTTAAATTTTGGTCTCATGTGACCAGACTTTATTCTCCCAGTATTTCACAGGCTTATCTAAAGCTTCAACATGGTTTTTCTTCAGCAATCTTAATCGGTAATCTTGTGAGGAGCACCTGGTCTTGGTTGGTTTATGTTGAAGTTATGTTCTTTCCACTTCCAGATTATGGCCCCATCAGTGTTCACTGGAACATTCAGAAGTTTAGAAAGTCTCCTGTGACCATTGTCATCATTATGAGTTGCAACAATAAGGTTGCAGAGGTCTTGAGAAAGCTATTTGCTTTTACCCTTTATGAGATGTGTCTTGTGATACAAGAGAGATTTGGGATTGAACCAGCTGATATTAATTTGCACTGACAAGGGGCAGGATAGCTTTCTAATTACTGAAAGATTTCGGCTGCCGTCTTGGCTTTCCATTCCTTTTCGCACCTCCCTTTCTTCACGTGTTCAATACTTTTTCCCTTTGCTATTCCACATTATTACACATAACGTAATTTCTGGACATCTATGGTTTAATTTTTTTGTGTGTGGATTGCATGGATTGCTACTGGTGAACATGTCATGTCAATAATACCTCTACAAATATATTTACTGACAAGACATGAGTCACATTCTTCTATATTAGAAAATAAATGTCATCTCTTACAGTAGTTATAAACCCATTAGGTCTTAGCCTTAGGAAACAAATGAGCTCTTTTTCTAAATTCAGTTAAATTCAGCTTGGTTCTGCTGGAGATTTCTTCCTGTTAAAAGGGAATTTTTCCTCTCCACTGTTGCTACAAGCATGCTTAGTGTGAGGGATTGCATTTGAGTCACTGAGTCGATGCAATCAACTGGTTTTCCTTTGATAGAAAACTTTGAATCAATTTGACTGTATGATCTGGTGAGCTGTAAAGTGCTTTGAGATGACATGTGCTGTGAATTGCCGCTATATAAATAAACTGAATTGAGAAGAATTAAATCTTTATAGTTCAACAAAGTTACGATCTTGCCTAAAAACATTGACAAAGTTTATTTGGGTTATAGAAAGAAAGTAGAAAAAAAAATAAAGGAAAATGTAATCACAATCTTTGCCCCCATCGGTCGTCATTTTTTTGTCCTAGCTCGACCAATCCACTTTCACCTGCAGTAAACCATAGAAAATGGAGGGATGTTCAAAGCTTTTACCCAAGAATGTAACTTTGTTCACAATGTAGCTTCATTTTGATTTCCACACCTTTGCCATCAATAACAATAATTCAAAACGAGTCCGGTTAGAATTGCCCATGGTTTCTCCATGGCTTTTCACATATGTATAGAGCTCATGATATTTTTTGTAGTTTTAAGATATAACTAACACTGATATAAATGTCAGATTCTTATCCTGACATGTCTTTTTTTCTTTTTGTTAATAGTTAAATAGCATAGTAGTAGGGTTAATGCAGTAATGGAGGATGAATCCATTCATTTTTAGGATCTGTAATCGCCAAGATCTTTCCGCTTTTTGTTGCTCTACTACTTGAAATCCAAAAGAAAAATGTAACTTGTAACATATAATACTATTGAAAAAGAAATGTTGCTATGTACTGTATACTATTATTACTGAAATGTCTGTTTGGGAAAACCAGAGAAAAAGAAATAAATAGCCTGAATTTTAGTCTTTAGACATAAATATTTCTTAGAAAAATTATCTGCTTGACTAAACGTCCACTTTTACCAGAGTGGACAATGTGTTTTTATGTCTTTACAGAATCAAGTTGATTTATTTGGGATTTTTTTATGGTGGATTTTTTATAATTTGGAGTGAGATTTGCTGTGTGTGAATCTGCTTGCTAATCAGAAGAGCCGGTCCCCTTGCCGCCAAGGGCATCAGCAGGATTCAGCCCTGTTGGCTGCAAACCGCCATAACCTTGACCCCCGAGGTCAACAGCCCTTCTAGTGTGTGCGTGTTTTCACATTTGTGGTGAGATTTTTTGCAGCATATGTGCCACTGTGACCACTGCCTAGTGGCATATGCCAGGGGCCACCGTGTGGATTTCACCCTGGGCCACTATGTGTGCGTGTGTGTATGTATACATTCAAGAATATGTTACATATTTTAGACAGTTGTTTACGTTTATGGGGAACTCTTAACTTTCATGATGATGCGGTTTCCAAAAGATGCAGGGTTTTTTTAGTTTGTCTGGATGTTTGTATTCCTGCCAGCATGGATCTGGCCTTCTCCTCACTAGGTGGTTTTAACACTGTCACTGCTGGATTTCCTCGATTCCAATGGGCCTCCGTCTGACTGCCCATATGTCTCCTCTCTGCTCCTTTTTACTCCATTTCCTTTTGGGACTGTGTTTCTGCAACTTGTGCCTGAATGTGTGACTTCTACAATATGCCTCCTTGGTTTAATCCATTAAAAAAAAAAAAAAAAAAAAATAGTAACATAGTAACATCAATGCAGCCAAAGATTAAATGTGCCGGTTGATAGGTTTGTGGAAGTTGGCTGCTTTGTCTGGCCCTAGAATGTCCCGGAGGATGTTCAAATCCTTTACACCTCCACACACTTGCATCCATAGTGAAAAAGACCATCTGAAGAGCACCGCTTGGAGCAGAAGATCAATGTGACGAGTAAGCTTCTTGTTTATATACACACAGAGTGGCATGGAAAGCATCCCAAGAAAGCCAGAGCAACTTTTCATTTTAAATATACTTCTCTGTATCTGTATGCCCATCTATGCAAATGAGAGTAACAATAAGATAATTGCCTATCTTCCCACCATAAGTGTGTTTGTGTGTAATCAGAAGACAATGTTTCCTCTTTCTCCAGGGAGCCAATTAAAGCTCAATAAAGGACCTGGCAGACAGACACAGAAAAGAATAGATAGATAGATAGATAGATAGATAGAAAAGGAAGAGATAGAGAGGGATGAGCAGTAGAACGGCAGAAAGCGAGGGTACAAGATGGATGGGTGTAGTCTGTGATACAGAGAGGAGCGACACGGGGAGGTAGAGAGTGAACAATGAGAGGAGAGATGAATAGAATGTGTCAGGAATAGTTGATGATCGGAGCGTGAAAAGATAAATGGGTACGTGTGTGTATATCTGTGGGTTCGTGCGTCGTCATGACAGTTTTAGGAAGGTGTTTGCAAAAGGGAACTCCTAAATAGGTCAGCGAAGGTGGAGCAGTGCACTAACACCACCAGTTTGCGGTAGCTGTTTCAGAAAGATGCTGCGACAAATTGAGGTGACGTCCCCGGTTCGGCGGTCTCCGGAGATACAGGGATAATGCTGGAAGCTGCCATACTGTACATTATAGGTACAGTGACTTTGTACAGCAGAGCAGCAAACAAGAGCAGAATTTAAAAACAGAACATGACCTATCTAACTTGATGTGTGGCGTGGAGAGGTCAGTGGTGCAAAGTTATACCAAAATATGAATGTTAGAGTTGAGTTAGAGTGGTACAAATCAAACAAAACTAAGTTCATATTGTTTCTTTGGTCTAATGTCCTTGAAATGAAGTGCCATATTGGTACAGTTTAGAGAGGGTACGCAGTTTTTGGTGTACCTGCTTTGGGCTGGGCACTGCCCTTCCTGTTGCATGTTGATTGTCAGCTGGTTGTAAGGAAAATCCATCTGGCTTTCTTTGACATTTTCTGAAAAATTTAAACTGGAAAAACTTTAATAACACCTTTCTTTTTAATGTAAACCTGTTTCAAAACTGTTAAAATATCTGTAAACCAGCTGATGATGGTAAACCCATTTAATTAACCCGCTGCTATCAGTTTGTTATAATTACTTCTGTATTATACATGTCATAGAAATGACAGGGCTCATGCAAAACGCAAAGTATTTCTACATCTTCATGTCTGTGGAATCATGACATGAATAGAAACAGGTCAAACAAAAAGGGTTGACATGTTCCATTTAAAAAAAAAAGGAATATTATATTTTATGTATTGGCTTTTTCACTTATTTCTATTACTCATGAAATAAAATGTTGAGATCATCCAGTTTAATGTACCTGGGTGATGACGAGAATAATTGATAGAATACGCAGTTACTACAATAATCAACAGGCAAAGTTCATGATTAACAGACAGAATGTATATGGGTGTCTGACATATACGGTATTTTTAAAGGTATAGTGGAGACTAGGGGTGTAAATCACATCCATCATGGCGATTCGATACAGTATCGATTTCCTGACCCAACGATTTGATTATTTTTTGATACTCAAGAATACACCACGATACGATTAGATTCGATTAATAGGTTGATCTATTTTTTTTTTTTTACACCTTACAGGCTAAACAAAGTTTCAAGTTTGAAATAAATCAATGAAAGCTGTAATATCGTTATGCATTTTGTTTTTAAGAAACAACAGCAAATAACAGAAGTAGAAAAGTTGCATCAAAAAATACTGCAAAAATACTGCACATAATCAGTGCAATGAGTGCAATGCAATCCACCTGGATCTCCGCCCTTTTTGGCCCTCATGTCCCTCCATCGTCGGACTAAACTCGCCCCCACTTCCTCGCTGCCTCGGCCGTATCTAGACCCACAGTGTTTAGCACAGACCACGCTTCAATATTGAGCATAATTTAAAAAGGTCTGTGTCAAGCTTGCTGCAACACACTGCTGTAAGAGTATAACCAGGAAGCGAGGTAGGAGGGCAAAATAGGTTTAGCGCCACCACAGCACGGGAGGGAGAATTACATCCAGGAGCAAATGGATAAAATAGACCGGAGGAAAAAAAAAAAACATGAATCGATTCTCTTGCAGACGTATCGATGCATCGGATCGTCGGCTGTTAGATCGATGCATCGATACAAAACAATTATTATTTACACCCCTAGTGGAGACCCACCCTCTCCAGATAAAAAAAAATGCACATGCAAAACCTTTACCCGCTCCCGAGAGGGGACACCAACACGTGTGAGAGCATGCAGGAGCCAATTTCTCCATGTGCACGCTCTGTTTAAAAGTTGCTTTTTTGTTTGCTCTTTATTAACATCTTGTCTAACTTTGCTTCTCTATCTCCACTAAATCCCCAGGTGGCACTGATATAGTTTCGTGTTTCATGGGGCAAAATCCAACAGTTCCAGTGTATCGCGGGGAGATCCAGTCCAGAAACCTCGGCATGGCTATAGAAGCGTGGAGTACTGAGGGTAAGACAATGTGGGAGACGGGGTGTTTTGTTTTGGAGAATCTCTCAGGGTTTTTAATCTTTTTTTTCTCTACCCTATCTTTACTCTTTAGTCTCCGTTTATGAGCTATTAAATTGTAGGAAGGCTGCAATTATGATCAAAATGAACTATAAACACATTTATTACCAAAGCTGATATGCCCTTGAATTTTTAATCAGCTTCTGGGGCCCATGATGAAACCAAGTGATTCTGGGTTTATTGTGGGAAGAAATGATGTGCTTATGCTGAGGATTAAAAAAAATGTGAGAGTTGATTAGTAGAGATAAAATAATCAGTTTGAAATCAACTTTCTGCCACAATAGAACAACTGGGAAACTGTATTTCTAATAGCAATGCTAAAAAAGTGATGCTTTTTTAATACTATTAGTTTGTTGAGAATTTTTAAAGCCCTTTATATATTTTTCCATTGATTTTTAGCCCATCATTCCCCTGCTCCCTTCTGCAGGCTGTTTCTGCCACCTCAAAGGAAAGTGGACTGAGGGACCATTTGAAGGCAGTTCAGCCTGGGATTATTTTAGTCAGTATTTAAGGCTTTAACACTTTCCTGTGGGAGGCTAGGGCTGTGTAGAATCACACAGTGTTCTTTGAAAGTGTTTAGTATATTCTGTAGCTCTGGAGAAATGTTCATTGGTGTTCATTTAATTTTACATTTGGCTCATGCAATAGTGCGTCTTTTAAAATGTTGTTAGTTCTTAAAAATGTAATTGTGGGTTGTGTGCTTGGTGATGACCAGGTAAGCCGGTTTGGGGGGAGAGCGGAGAGCTTGTCTGCCTGAAGCCGATCCCCTGCCAACCAACTCGCTTCTGGAATGATGAGAATGGGAGCAAATATCACAAAGCTTACTTCTCTACGTTTCCCGGTAAATACGCAATAAACTAGCAAAGAACAAATACAAACCAAAATGCAGCGTCAGATAGTCAGTTTGCATTTTATGAATCTAGATGGAAAAAAAGTAAAATTTTTGCCCTGTTTCTGCTCTAGGTGTGTGGGCCCATGGAGATTATTGTAAAATAAATCCGAAGACAGGCGGCATTATCATGCTTGGCAGAAGGTCGGTCATTTAACCATTTTACTCACAGAATGTTGTAGATTATTAGTACTGAAAAACTTATTTTCTATAACTTGAGTTTGAACTGATTTATTTTTAGTAATTATTCTAAAAGCGGATTCTAATTGGGACATATTCAAATATATTGAGGTCAAAGCTTCTGTTACATAATTACCCCTCTTTGTATTTAACTTATTGCTTAAAATAAACGTACCTATTATCATGTAAACATGTTAAATTAAAGGTATAGTGGAGGATTTTAGCTATTTTTTTTTTTTATAAAACCCACCCTCTCCACTTAAAAAAATAAAATAAAAATAACATGCACAACCCTGTACCCGCCCCTGAAAGGGAACACGTATTAAACGTGAGAGCTTGTGCGAGAGCATGCACAAGCCCATTTCTCCTCGAAGGTGTGGGGAGGCAATGATAAGACGGTCGTTCAGATGGATCTCATCTCACCCATATTTATATATAAAAAGTTTCCCCGCAAATAAGACTACTGGTACAATCAAAAATCATGACATGCTTGTTTGTGTGTGCTGCAGAGGAAATTTGGACATGTTTGTGCGTTAAATAAGGATTTGTGGACATTGTATAACTACTAATGATGCAAATTACAAAATAAATAAACTTATCTACCCTGGAATGTTACAATTTAGAGGTAGATAACGTTTATTAGCAGTGATTTTAAATAGATTTCTCCAAATAGCAAGCCAAACTCTACTTGTCGAGTAGAAACTTTGCAACCGAGGCAATTCTCTCTTCTGAGGCCTTTCTCTTCTTCTTACCTTAATCCGGCCCTTTGCAAAGAACGGTAGTGAAAAAGGCGAGCTTCAATGATTGTCTGAAACTGTAGTTCACCACATCTGAAAAGATAGCTACCTGTGGATGAGCATGTAGGACGGCCTTACATAAATATATCACCAGAATGATTGACAATTAGGAGGACCACTAATTTAGATGATCCACCAGGAAAAATTAACATCCTCCACTATACCTTAAGTTGTCCAATGATACTCAGTCATATTTTCAAATCAATTACAATTTATCAATATTGAACAAGTGAAAGAAAAAAATCAGTCTGCAAAAGTTGGAAACATTCTGTAATTTAAATGTATTGTAATCTTGATAGATCACAATTCTTCTTATCATTGTTTTCCCTGATAAACAACCTTGTAGTCCACATTGCTGACTGAATTGATGAAATATTGCTCTTTAGGAAAGAAATGCAAATGTAGAATGCATTTTTTTTGATTCTATAGACCAGCTGAAAGATAAAAACTGCCTCTTAGCTTTACGTTTTGCTTTCTTTGCTCTGTCTTGAACTGTTGTTGCTTTTCTCTATTTTATATATGATTATTTGAAAGAAAGTTTCCTAGTGATGGTCACCCATGTTTTAAATGTTAAACTTGTGATTGAACTCTAGTGATGGGACGTTGAACCCTAATGGAGTTCGCTTTGGGAGCTCAGAGATCTACAATATTGGTGAGTGCTATGAAGGAAATCAATTAAAGAGGAGGGCAAGATTATTGTCTGGATAATAATTGAAATGCTGCCTTTTTTGTCAGTTAGTAGAAAAAGCAGAAAGGCATTTAGGGAAAAAAAAAATCTTTTTTTGTTGCTTTTTATTTAGTCTTCCCACCTCTTTTTCTCTTCAGCCTCTCATCTGCTCTTCTCATCTTCCTTGTTTACCTTTCTTGCAGTGGAGGCTTTTGAGGAAGTGTCAGACAGTCTTTGTGTGCCACAGTACAATGCAGATGGAGAGGAAAGGGTTATTTTGTTCTTAAAGATGGCTCCCGGGAAGCCGTTCTGTCCAGAGCTGGTGACAAGGATTAAAGGAGCCATCAGAAAAGCCTTGTCTGCCCGACACGTCCCTGCCTTGCTGCTGGAGACAAAAGACATTCCTGTAAGAGAAGCGTGAATATCACTCAGATATGCATAAACCTGATCATTCTATACCACATCCCAATTGGAGCCTTTGTTTCATCTCTCCGCAGTACACCATCAGTGGTAAGAAGGTGGAGGTCGCCGTGAAGCAGATCATTGCAGGTCGGGAGGTTACACAGCGAGGAGCTTTCTCCAACCCTGATTCTCTGGACCTCTACAAGAACATTTCTGAGCTACAAAACTTTTAATAATTAAATAGATTCAATTCCAGATAGTTGAGGAGATTTTATTAAAGGCATGGTTAGCAGAGAGAGGACTGGTGAAAAAAGGTGTGATGGACTTAATGTTTTGCAAAATAGGAACAAATATTATTTAAATAAAAGGAAATTACATCAATGTATATTAAGCTGATGGTATAATGCAGGGAGAAGACTTTAAACCACAAGGTACACTGGTCCATAGGCAAGCTTTGAATAGCTTAATGCTGCTGCTCCTAGTCTGTCGTGCTGTTCAAATAAAAGTTAAGCTGAGTGTAATGCGATGTGCACACCAGTGCTTGTACTAAAGCTTATGCTGTAAAGCTTGATATAAAAACTTTAAGTGCAGCATTAAGTTTTTGGGTTCACAGTTTGATCATCCTTTAAAAGATCCTCATTTCTGCAGCAGCAATCTTTAACAAGAATGCTGCTTTGGAGGAGATTAAAGAATAAAACCTGTGAAGTTGTGCAGAAAAGTACAGATAAGACCTTAATTCAGCTGTGGCTCATATCAGCATATCATTGTTTTCTGCTGTGTTACTTTATTCATGTATGTGTGTGTGTGTTTGTGTATGTATGTATGTATGTTTATATATATATACACACACACACACACAAAATCAAAGCCAAAGGTTTGGATTCTGTTTGTTTCTTGAGAGTTTGAGGTTAACTTGTGATAATTAGGAATTCCAGATGCACTAAAATCATTATTTTTCTACTGTATTTTGGTGAGATTGTAATCCTTCCTTACATTGGTTCCATGTTTCTTCCTTCTAGAAACTTTTTTGTTATTCACTGTTGAAATGAAGGTATTCCTTTTTTAAATATTCATTACCTCTTTAAATTTCATGCCATCCTGCAGTTGACAGTGCCTTGCCAAGCATTCATATCTTTTTCTTCTATTTGTCCATTGCAGACTCAAACCTTATTGTGTTTTATAAGGATTAATGGTACTACTTTACAAAGGGCTCACCTTAATAGATGGATAATAAATAGTTTTTTCAGATGTTAATTAATTTGTAAACATTTTATAACTCATTCAAAAGTGGGTTTTTTGCATTTATTAAGGGAGAGAACAAGAAAAAAGCTGACCAGTTTCTTGCCAAATTGTGAGCTTGAGCTGTTTAACTGTATATATATCTATATATAGAGAGAGATATAGATATTTATATAGATATTTACACTGCTCGAAACAATAAAGGTTACGTAAACAACACAATATAAATCAACCTTCTGTGAAATTGTCCCTTCATGAAGCAACACTGATTGATGATCAATGTCACATGCTGATCTGCAAATGGTATAGAAAACAGGTGGAAATTATTGGTAATTGGCAAGACACACTCAATAAAGGAGTGGTTCTGCAGGTGAGATCACAGACCACTTTTCAGTACCTGTGCTTTGGCCGATTGTTTTGGTCACTTTTGAATGTGGATGGGGGTTTCACAACCCACGCAAGGGGCTCAGGCATTGCAGCTCATCCAGGATGGCGCATCAATGCGAGCTGTGGCAAGAAGGTTTGCCGTGTCCGTCAGCAATAGTGTCCATATGCTGGAGGCGCTACCAGGAGACAGGGCTTTACACCAGGAGAAGGCCGTATGAGGCGAACAACCCAGCAGCAGGACCGCTACCTCCACCCTTGTGCAAAAAGGAACAGGAGGAGCACTGCAAGAGACTTTAAAACTGACCTCCAGCAGGCCACAAATGTGCATGTCAGCAAAAATGGTTGGAAACTGACTCCATGAGGATGGTATGAGGGCCTGACTGCCACAGAATGGGGTTGTGCTCACAGCCCAATACCGTGCAGGATGCCTGGCATTTGCCAGAGAACACCAGGATTGGCAAACTCGCCACTGCCACCGAGTGCTCTTCACAGCTGAAAGCTGGTTCACACTGAGCATGTGACAGACCACGTTCTGCTGCCTGCAACATCCTTCAACATGACCGGATTGGCAGTGTGTCAGTAATGGTGTGGGGTGACATTTCTTTGGAGGGCTGCATAGGCTTCCATGTGCTTGCCAGAGGTAGCATGAGTGCCATTAGGTACCGAGATGAGACCCTCAGACACCTTGTGAGACCTTATGCTGCTGCGGTTGGCCCTAGGTTCCTCCCAATGCAGGACAATGCTAGCCATCATGTGGCTGGAGTGTGTCTGCGTTCCTGCAAGATGAGGGCATTGAAACTATGGACTGGACTGCCAGCTCCCCAGACCCCGAATCCGACTGAGCACATCTGGAACATCGTGTTACGATCCATCCACTAACCACAGTTGGACCACTGACTGTCCAGAAGTTGGCGGATGCTTTAGTCCAGACATGTCTAAAGTCTGTCCTTGAGGGCCGTTGTCCTACAGGTTTTCAATGTTTCTTGGCTTCAACACAGGTAATTGCAGTTCAGCAAAAACCTGTTAATCAGCTATCAATGGAAATCAGGAAAGAGGACAGTGGTCCTCAAGGACTGACTTTGGACATGCCTGCTTTAGTCCATGGGGGGAGATCACTCGGGAGACTATCCATCCCCTCCCCAAGAGCATGCCTAGTCATAGGGATGTAATATAGGCAAGTGCCACACACAACATTGAACCTCCTTTTGACCAGTTTTAAAGACGTATCAGAGTTGGATCAGCCTGTAGTGTGTTTTTCCCCTTTAATTTAGTTTGACTTAGAATCCAGCCCTCCATTGGTTAATAAATTTGATTTCCATTGATAATTGTTGTGATTCCATATATACATATATAATCATTTAACATTACAATATAGATTACATGTAAATGCATAATAAGCATTTAAATACTAGATTTTCTAGTATGCTTTAACTGTTGAGTGTATACTGTACTAACCACTATGTAGTTTTAAAATGTTTACAGGGAAACTAAACATAGAATGGGATGTTAATAAGCAACATATCTATAACTATTAACCATCTATCAGGGTAGCCTTATTGTAAATCCCTGGCAGATTAATTTCAAGACAAACAGAAGGCGGTGTCTTTTTTGCTGGAATTGCAGCTGTAAGCCTTTTGCTGTGCTTTTACCAGGTATGCAAATATATAGACCAACGTTTATGTTGATTCTGGGTGAGTGAATGAAAAGCACTGATAAGCATGTTTTCAGGATTTGACATATTCTCAATTGAATGGTCTGGACTTTGTCTAGGACACACTACATGAATATGCCTTTATCTAAATCCTCCCATTCTAACTCTTGCAAAATATTTAGTGAAACTCTGTGCTTAATTTCAACGAAGTTAAAAGGACTGTTGGAAACTTAGTACCTAGCACTGGGAACCCTGGGACAAGATTCAAAGGCCCAAAGTCTTGTTTCAAGGCAACCAAATTACCAACCATGTAGCCTGCAACTATTATTTATCCTGTCAAAATCTGCCACCTATCTATGAAGTTTCCCCAGGGTTACTGTGGGCCTCCTGGCTGCTTCTCTGATTAATGCCTACGTTGCTCATTCTGTCGGATTAGGTTGAGAGTCATACAGTATCATGCTTTTTTTTTTCTTTTTCATTCCCTATGATTAACTTAACACGATGGTGTATCATTTGTCTTTGTTCTTGGAATCGTCAGGTACTTTGTCCTTATTGATTACATTAATCTCAATATAGTACTTTTAAGGCTTTGACTGCTTTTGCAAGGCACTATAGGTTTGATTGAGGTTGATCTGAGTTTATGCAAATATCAAGTTTATGTTTTCCCTGTCAATGATTATCTGCAACATCAGAGGTGTCATAACTTTTGAATAGCATTTCTCTCTAATAGAGACTTTTAATTTCATTGTTTTTTTAATGCAGAAAAACATTGTATTTATCAAATGCAACCATTTTGTGCATCAAAGACACAATGGGAGAGCTGAGTAGGTTTGGTTATTTGTAGCTTTCTTAGTAAGTATGAAATGAAATAACTGCCATTCACTTTTGTACCTACTTCGAGGGAAGTGTGCTTGACTAAATTTGGATTTTTCAACAACATATATCCAATTTTAGGCAGGAAGCAGCTTTTTGTCAAAATGTCTGATTGTAATTGTACTATTTAAAAGGTGCTTGAATGAAACCGGTCTAATTATCTGCTGTTCATCTCTAATATTCTCAACATGAATCCATTCTTCCGCAGGAATTCTGATGGAAAAAACAGTATTCTCTAATCATTGTTATAACAGTGTATAATGTTGTTTTGCTTTGTTTACAAAAAGAAATGATGGATCTTTCAGGAAGAAAATGGATACTTATACTTTAAACATTATCACTTGCATCAATGTGATTAACAGGACTTGTTAAACTGTTGAAATATTGAAATTAAAATTACTGTACTTGTGTTTAATTTTTTCTTTTTTCTTTTAGTTTATAGACTGCATTTAAAAAAAAAGAAAATACACCTAATAGTTATTCTTGCATGAGTGTATTTTATCAGATTATTGAACATAATGACGATCATTATCAGTATAGTTTTAAGTTGTTTTTTAAAATTAATAATTACATGTTCTTTGCATGTTGTATCAATATAGTGATGCTTTTGGCCTTAAAGCCATAAAATGTTAGTATTTAATGTGTAATTATTTATGCAACAAGATCCTGTCCCTTAGTCTCTCAATGCATGTTTTCCCCTGGTTGTTCGAATTTCTCATTAAATCTTAAGAACCATAGGAACTAAGACCAACATTTATTTCCATCTCTAAAAGGTTAGTATTTTCTAGTCATTCTTATTTCTGGGGTGGTCAAACAACCCATGATGTTGTCCTAAGAAGTAAAACTAGAAGTGCATCTTAATAGAGGGGAAGACCTGCTCACTCTGAGCCACTAACATGTATAGCAGGGTCCTTTAACATCCAGCACTCAAGATCCGATGCCCTGCACATTTAAGATGTGCATTTGCTTCAACACACCTGAGTCAAATAGCTGGGGCTTTAGCAGGACTGAAGAACTTGACTCCATCGTGAGGAGGTAATTTGGCTAGGTGTGTGGAAGCAGAGACACATCTGAATCACCTGACCTTGAGGACTGAAATTGAAGACCCTTGATA